CTAATATGTGACCCTGGACCACAAAACCAGTCAAAAGTGTAATTTTTTCTAAATTAAGATTTATACATTATCTGAAAGCGCAATACATAAGCTTTCCATTGATGTATGGTTTGTTAGGATAGGACAATATTTGGTTGAGATACAACTATTTGAAAATCTGGAATCTGAGGGTGCAAAAAACTCAAAATATTGAGAAAATTGCCTTTAAAGTTGTCCAAATGAAGTTCTTAGCAATGCATGTTACTAATAAAAAATTAAGTTTTAATATATTTACAGTAGAAAATTGACAAAATATCTTCATGGAACATGATCTTTACTTAATATACTATAAGTATTGAGTAGGATTAAGGATTTAGAATAAGGTCTTGCAGAATAAGACATTAATATGTGCTTTTTAAGTAATAATAAATAGCCAATATCCCAGTAATATTCATGCTAATAACCAACAAGTTAACAGTGAGAATTGGACACTAAAGTGTTACCAATATTCTTATTAACTCACCAAAGTATTCAAAGTGAGAAGCAAGGGTACATAAAAAGCATGCATTTTAAGGTTAGACTTTAAATTTTGATGTTAAATTCACTATTGTATTGTATATAAATGTCCTTCAGTCTATACACAGTATTATGTTCAATTACATAAGAAGTAACTGTAATTACATTACAGAGAAAATAAGAGTAATCCCTTCCTTTACTTTTTCAAGGGAAAAGTAATTAAATGACTTAGTAATTAGTTACACCCAACACTGCAAATTCGCAGGTACATACTTTCGAAAAATGAAACAAGAAATCCACTATAGTTTGTCTTTAAGCTCTGTTTCAATGCTCGGGGAAAAAAGAAAGCATGCACGACTTACATCGACAGGCTGCGTTGGGATCTTGAGCTTGGTGAGGGAAGCCTTGCCATTGGGCTTCATTTCTCCCACAGCGCTGCTGTGTGATTGACCGCCGTACGACTCCGAGGAGGTCTTGGGCTCGGCCGTTTCCCGGTCGTCCATGGGCCGCACATAAGCGGTGGGTTTTTGGATCATGGAGCTGGGTTTGATGAGCGAGGGCGGGAAGCTCTGGCTGGGATGCTGTCCCCGCGCGAGTGTCCGCCGGAGCTCATGGGGCCCTTGGCCGGGCTGGAGTGGGATTTGTGCTCGGAGCCGTGCTTGCTGGACTTCTTGCTGCTGCTGCTGTAGTCTCGCTCGTGTCGCTGACCGCCGCTGCGCTGACTGCTGCCGTGGCTGCCCTGCACGGATGAGCGCTTCTGCGAGGAGGAGGAAGTTGAGGTCGACGAGCAGGATGTGGAAGAGATGCCGCCGACTGGAGTCCATTTACTGTTCTGACTCTGGGCGCCTCCGCTACGCTGGTCAGCGTACTGGCCGGATTTATCGTCCGAGGAGGAGCTGGAGGCTTTGGGAATGAGTTTGGACATTGGGGGTTCACCGATGGTTTCCTTCATCTCGTCGTAATTTCCCAGCATGCTCTGGATGCGACTTGAGAGTTTATCTTCCTTTGAGGACTGTTGGGAGAAAAGAACTTGAGATGAGTGTGAGAACAACAACTCAAACACCAACTTACTAGTTGTCTGTTGTTACATATAAGTCTGTGTGTGCAATTTCACAAACTTCAAAACGTGTCTATTTAAGGGGTTCAAGCTGACTAAATGGTCACATTTTACAACCTTTTTTGCTGTTTAAGTCAAACTGATGCCACTAGAAAGTACCAGCCCTCTTTGAATTACTGTAGTAACTAACTCCATTAACCTTGGCATTTTGGCAGAAGCACTGCATATTCATATATTATTATATAGTTATTTAAGTGATGCACCGTAAATGAAAATTCTGGGTCGAACCCGAAAATTCAGGATGCACTTGGTCAAAAACGGAAATAACCCTTATTTAGTAATCAAGTAATTTATAAAAATGTATTTAATCAACACAAATAAAAGCTGACTTGTATAAAGATTTAAATTGCACATAAGGCAGTTTTTTAATAACAGAATTATGTTTCTACAATTTATTATTCACGTTCTGCACTTGCACTTCTTTCTACATATTTTTGTGACCTCTGAATAATAAATGGAATAAGCTTTTTTTAGCTGCATTCGGAGGAGTGCGGATCTCTTTCATCTTTATATATTTTGGATCTACGCACCATATGTTTTTGTCTACTGGATTTTTGGACGAGTGTTTGGCGCTACTGCCTTTTTTGTGGATTACAATTTATTGTTGAAATATAAACATGCAAACAATAAAAACACATTCAATTAAAAAATTAATAATGTACATTAAATAATGAAAATAACAGATTGGTAAAAAAAATTATGAATATGCATATATTTAGCAAAATGCTCCTTTATAGATTTATTTTTTCTAGCTGACTATCTTGAGGTACTGCACTTGCACTTCTTTCTACATATTTTCGTGACCTCTGAATAATAAATGGAATAAGCTTTTTTTAGCTGCATTCGGAGGAGTGCGGATCTCTTTCATCTTTGTATATTTTGGATCTACGCACCATGTTTTTGTCTACTGGATTTTTGGACGAGTGTTTGGCGCTACTGCCTTTTTTGTGGATTACAATTTATTGTTGAAATATAAACATGCAAACAATAAAAACACATTCAATTAAAAAATTAATAATGTACATTAAATAATGAAAATAACAGATTGGTAAAAAAAATTATGAATATGCATATATTTAGCAAAATGCTCCTTTATAGATTTATTTTTTCTAGCTGACTATCTTGAGGTAAATGTGACATTACATAACATTATTGTTTACGAGCAGTTTTAATGACGTCTCTCTGCAGTTGAAACACGGATTGAGACACAGCACATTTCTAAATGCTACAAATAATATTTAGCATGTGCATCAACAGAAAGCAGAATAAAGGAAAAGACTGATCTTTAGTTTAAAGAATCCATATTAGTATCGATAACTATCGATCGAACTATTTTGCCCTAAATCAGAAATTGCTCTTTTTCGGCCCCCGCAATTTCAGTGCATCACTAAATATAATTAAACATACTAAGGGGATTAAGGAAATATAATTACAACTATGGCAGTTTCTGAATTTTGTATTTAAAGTTTCTAAATGTTTTAGGCTACTGTTTTTTATTATAAAACTCATAGTTACATCTAATCATGGCAGTGAAGAATCAAACATGGTTTAGTCTGTGCTTACTACAAATACCACTAAAATGTATATGAATACATATATGATTTGAAACTTGAATAGAAAGTAAGGCAAAAGGGTATCTGTAAACAACAAATCAGATGCTGCAATTTCATCTGCACATTACGCTGTTAAAAATGATTTACAGATAATGTTGAATCACATGGGATTGAGACACAGCACATTTCTAAATGCTACAAATAATATTTAGCAAGTGCATCAACAGAAAGCAGCATAAAGGAAAAGACTGATCTTTAGTTTAAAGAATCCATATTAGGATCGATAACTATCGATCAAACTATTTTGCCCTAAACCAGAAATTGCTCTTTTTCGGCCCCCGAAATTTCAGTGCATCACTAAATATAATTAAACATACTAAGGGGATTAAGGAAATATAATTACAACTATGGCAGTTTCTGAATTTTGTATTTAAAGTTTCTAAATGTTTTAGGCTACTGTTTTTTATTATAAAACTCATAGTTACATCTAATCATGGCAGTGAAGAATCAAACATGGTTTAGTCTGTGCTTACTACAAATACCACTAAAATGTATATGAATACATATATGATTTGAAACTTGAATAGAAAGTAAGGCAAAAGGGTATCTGTAAACAACAAATCAGATGCTGCAATTTCATCTGCACATTACGCTGTTAAAAATGATTTACAGATAATGTTGAATCACATGACCAATAAGACACTATGATTCAATATTCCCTGTCCTGTTTTATAACTTGATCTGTCCACAATGTTCGAGTCAAGCATACAGGAGCAGATTGTTACATGAAGTGTTTTTTGCACTACTACCCTCAATGAGTTCATCCGGAATAAACGAGTAATACACCACGTCCCATGTCAAAGCAGGGGGTTTCCACTGATAGTACACACCACTTCATCTCACCCCAAAGGGAGAATACAGCTGTCTGTATTCTCTGCCTGTCAGGTTGCATCTCTTGTATCCTATGACAGGTTCGCCACCAAAGTAAAGCACTTACCGCTGTGTAAATCTGGTTAGCAGCAAAGATTAGACCGTAATCTTCTTTAGTGTAACCTATGTGACTATTACATATGTGTCCTTTTTCCCCCCATTGCAGCTTTATATCAGCCCAATTAGAATGAAAACCCCCAAGAACTTAAGAGTTTTAGTCCATTTATCACATCCTGAAATACTATCTAAAAATTAAAAAAAAAAAAGGTCAGAAGGAATGCAATGAAATTAAATAGGTTCTTGTAGCATCTGACGGTGGATCACCTCAAAGTTAAAATATTAATGACGCATTTCCACTCCAAATTTAGTCCAATAAGCCTTAACGAAAGAGCAGCAAAACATGGTTGAAAAAACAATAATAAAAGTCCTTATATACGTCCCGCCCAAACTTCCTGTTTAAAAACTAAATGTGTCGATGCAGCAAAGACACTGTGCTTGTGAGGCAACTTCATGAGCTTATTAAATACATGCAAAACACAATTAGCAAAAATTAGCACTTTTCAACAACAACAACAACAACAACAAAAAAAAGTGTTTTACTATAAATAGGGGCAGAAATTGTGATAATTGTAACAATTGTTAACAAAAACTTAAATACAATTGTTCAAAAATTATTCCATTAACAAAGCTTCCTCAAAGTTCTGAGTTCATGTTTGTTGTGTGCAACCAACAAGGACAACAAAATAAATGTCCTGTCTTGATATTACTTCATGGAACACTTTTCTCTCTCTCTCTCATCACTTGAGATCATCTGATGTAAAACCACGTAATTCCTTCGACCATGGTACTGAAAAATAAGTCAAATGTTCTTTCCTTCCTCACAGCTGCAAACTAAACCACACGATGCTTATTCCTGCAGAACTAGAAAGTGGGCAACAGGAGATTTGCTGAGCACTTACCACACATTTAGGACAGAAAGTTAACCGGCCACTAACTATATCAGCCAGACATATTTAAAAGCAGCTATACTGTTACCGAAAATCTCAAGCTGATGCATCTACAATGCAAGTACTTACCCATAAAATGCCCTGTAATTACCATTAGGATTGAAATAGTCGCCAATAAAAACAGTACAATGCATGGTTTTTGGGACACGTGCCATAGAATTGTTTGAAGCACAAAGCGATAGATACACATAGTAAACTCGATTCATTTTGAGATTTTCATCACTGATTGGAAACTGTTTCTAATTGGCCAATAAACAGATAGCGGTCACTAGATGGTTTAAATTTAACAACTTACTTTGAAGCATCTTAGTTGCTATTTTGCATTTTATATAATATGCTGTAAATAATGATCATTTTAAAAGTAAAAAACCTATTGGCCTTCCTCCACATGTTGAAAAATTTCAAGAGATCTAATGGGACATTTCCTGTAATTTTGCAGCTAAACGGTACAGTTTTTGCATGTAAAATAAATTCAGAAGTGAATTCTCAGTGTGAAAGCTCACATTTGGTGGTTTTTCATAGAAATATGTTTTTTCTCATCAGTTATGTACATTAGGGTTTTATGTTACATCTTATGTTGTTTAATTAATGTTTATTTTATTACTTTCGTGTTACTGTATTTGTGCACGAAACATGCACTTTCTATATATTCTATATATAATTGTATAGAATATATATTTAATGTGGTTGTCGTTAAAACAGTTTTTAGTAATTTGTTAATTTATTTTATTTAACAAACATATTTTTACAGTAAATGTAAGTTTAATCTGTAATACATAATTTTGCTACTGCATTTTTGCAGTACAGTTCTGGCAAGCAAAGTTGGTGTTTTTTTTACTGCAAATTTTTTTGGACAGTGCAACCATTAAATCACCCGTAGCATGACGCATACATTTTTCCAATAATTATGTAATGACCAAAGTTGCTGTATCACCACAGTGCTTTTATCTGTAAGGATTTTTCTGCTAAAGAGCAAGATTAATTGAGAACAGAAGCCAAAAAGGAACAACCTAAGATTAAATGAGGTCTTCAGGGCAAAATAATAAATAAATAACTGATGATCAAATGGGGAGGAAAAAAAAAGAAGAAACAAAATGAACTTACTTTATAAGGTTCAGGAAAGAGGGGAGAGTTAGCTGGAAAGGCCTCTCCTCCCTGCTGGATTTCTTGATTTCTCCTTTCCCTTTCTTTCATACGGAGCATATTCCGGTCTTCACGGTTCATGTTGCTAACAACAGAGACACTAAGAGTCACTAAGCAGTGAAGAAGCAGAGGAAAAATAGCTTCCTGACACCTTGATCTACACCTGGATCTACCAAGATAAAGTTACACATTTGAACAACAAATGGAGACAAATAGACAAGATTACTGGAGACAATCAGATGTGCTTTCCCTTCAAAAAACAAGCCTGGACTGTCCTACAGAATAACAGACAACAGTCATGTAGCAGAACTCAAAAGTTAAAATTCAATCAGACACAGTTATTGGTAATACTGACTTTAATTCTGTCCATCTTTGTTGTACGCTGCGTGCTTCGGCTAACCCAACATTATATTACATACACACCATCATTATCTCCCTGCACCTCATTAATAATGAGAGGACTCACTAAAGTAGTTACAACATTCGGCCTATATTTAGCAAATGGAAATTCTGATGAAACTATAGCAAACAGAAACCTTTGAAAAAGGTGATTTCAAAAGTTAAGACATTTAAGGTTCGCATGAGACGTGCGTAATCGATGGTGTCAAGTGAAACTTCCCAAAAAACATTAGTCTGTAGTTTAGTAATTGGTAAAGACCATGCCCACGTCATTCAAGAAGGCAGATTTTTACTTTAAAAATATTAATTATCATTTCAGATCATTTTCTAAAAGGTCATTCAAAACCACAACAGGTTGAAAACAACTCTTGTTGAAACATATGTTAATGAACTTTGTAGCTCAGGACTACATAGATAATATGCAGGTTTCCACTCATTTCTTAAGTAAAGGTATAGAAAGCTGGCAATAAATTAGTAATTATAGTCGCTGAAGCCATAACTACAGATTCATTTTACCTAGGGTTTCACTACAAAATCAAAGAGAGAACGAATAGAAAGCAAGCAAAAGAAAGAGAGAGAAAAGAAAAAGAAAGGAACAGAGCAAAAACAGAGCAGGAGAGCAAAAAAACAAATGTGAAGAAAGAAAGAAAGACAGAAAGAAAGAAAGACAGACAGAAAGAAAGAAAAAAAGACAGACACAAAGACAGACAGACAGACAGAAAGAAAAACTAAGAAAAAAGACAGACAGAAAGACAGACAGACAGACAGAAAGAAAAACAAAGAAAAAAGACAGACAGACAGAAAGAAAGAAAGACAGAAAGACAGACAGACAGAAAGAAAAAAGACAAAGACAGAAAGAAAGACAGAAAGACAAAAGACAGACAGGAAAGACAGACAGAAAGAAAGAAAAAAAGACAGACACAAAGACAGACAGACAGACAGAAAGAAAAACTAAGAAAAAAGACAGACAGAAAGACAGACAGACAGAAAGAAAGAAAGAAAGACAGAAAGACAAAAGACACACAGAAAGACAAAAGACAGACAGAAAGACAGAAGAAAAACAGAAAGACAAAAGACAGACATAAAGAAAGACAGAAAGACAAAAGACAGGCAGAAAGAAAGACAGAAGAAAGAAAGACAGAAAGACAAAAGACAGACAGAAAGACAAAAGACAGACAGAAAGACAGACAGAAAGAAAGACAGAAAGACAAAAGACAGACAGAAAGAAAAACAGAAGAAAGAAAGAAAGAAAAACAGAAAGACAGACAGACAGAAAGACAGAAAGAAAGAAAGAAAGAAAGAAAGAAAGAAAGAAAGACAAAGACAAAGAAAATGAAAGAAAGAAAGAAAGAAAGAAAGAAAGTAAGTTATGGGTAAATTAAATGACACTTCAATCAAACTGCATTAAAACATTATCTGTAAACAAATCGCTAATTAAACTGTGTAAGAGCTAAAAAACAAAACGTGTTATTACCGGGCAATTAATTAAATCTCTCTCTTCTCTTTCACGATGAGATCAGCAGCGCTGAGGTTTGGAGATGCGCAGCGTCACGTCGAGGGGGAAGTTAGCGATTCTCAGGGTGTTTTTAAGGGGAGTCACTTTTGATGCATTAGATCCTGCCAAGGTTTATTTTGTTAAGTTGATAGCCGTGTCGAGAAAGCTCAATGAACGTGCTAATGGGAGAGCGTTTGCACGACAAAACCACTCAAATGACCGATGCCACGTGTAGTCGTTTGACACAGACACTGCAACAAAATCCAATTAGTCAAACCATCTCTGGAAAAGCATTAATGAACTTTGCTGATGGACTGTGTACACATAAACCTCTCTCTACACACTGCTTATTAACAGTGCCAGCAGCTGAGAGAAAACTAAAGGACCTCACTCCGTCATAATGTACTCATCTTCTTATTGTTTTAAGCTTTCTAGCTTTACCTCGGATGTGTAAGCAAGCTTCAGGATTTCAGTTAATCAGACATGCATTTTTTTAAATGTAACCTTAAAATGGAATTCAGAAAAATGAAAACAAAAGATACGGAATTTGAGTAAAAATAAAACTGAATTTGGAAAAAATAACACTGATTTCATAGCAAGCTAAATTGTTATGTGCAGTTTAGTGTGCAAGGCTTTCAAAGTGAACATAGGGAACTTTCTTTCCAAATTCAGTTTTATTTTTAGCCAAATTCCAGTCTCGGTTTAAACGTTCTGGATTCTATTTTAATGGTCAATTAAATGCAAAAAGACATGCCTAATTAACTGAAATCATGGAACTTGCACAACTTAAATGAAGAGTTCACCCAAAATGAACATTCCGTCATGATTTACTCACCCTTGTGTTTTTCTTCCTTCTGTTGAGCACACAAGAATTTTTGAAGAACGCTGATGGTAGCCATTGACTCCCACAGTACGGAAAAATACTATGGAATTCAATGGCTTCCAGCAACTGTTCAGTCACCATGTTCCACAGAAGAAAAGAAGTCGTACAGGTTTGGAAAAACAAGAGGGTGAGTAAATGATGACTACTAAATGATGACTTTATTTTCTAACTACAACTAGAAAAGTATGCGTTTATAAAAAACAACAACAACAACAACAACACAGAGATGCACAGACTTCAAATTTTAATTAAAAAAATAAGTGCCTTTTTTGTAACATTCCACGTTATACTTTAAACTGCATTTTTATGACTGAATTCCACTATTGGGCCCTACATACTCCATCCATTATGAGTGTGGATGGACAGATTTAACGTATGCATGCTACTTGTTGGACCCGTTCAGTTTTTATTTGAGCATTAAGCCACTTGAATATATGCAGTTGTAAAATAAATATGAATAATTTATTTAAAAAATAAAATAATCAGGGTGTGTATGCTCACATGAGTGGACTGTGCTGATGACGTCACATAGTAGCATGCAGACAAGAGAAGTATATTTTGGGCTTGATGTTCATAATTTTCTAAATATGAACAATCTCTCATATGACACGCAAGAATCAAACTACGCTCCGCAACACTGACTCCAAACCTGGCTTGAAACTCGATATCTACAATGCGAGTAAAATCACTCACATATGCAACTAAATTTCCACAATATGCGACTAAATAATGTCTATCATTAGCCACTGGCTAATACATTGTTAGATTTCACAGTTGAGAACAAGCAGAAGAAGGTTGCTTCAGTAGTGGGCAGAACAATCTCATTGGCTGACCTATTAATCGACTACGTTTAGATTTCAACAAATCAGTTTGGGCGAAGGCAGACAACGTGATTAATATTCATTAACCCAGCAGCTCATTAGAGCTTAGCGTGTTTCATGTTGTTAGCAGTAGTATTAACTTATCCATATTATTGTTAAGTTTTGTTTTACTAAAACACAGAATGACTAGGGCTGCACGATAAATCGAAATGGAATCGAGATCTCGATTCGACAGAAGCTGCGATTGTCATGCGTATCTTTCAGTGAAGCACGGTTCCTAAGCCTTTGCTATCACCTTTTATCAGCTTAACACATCCTCCTAGCTGAATAAAAGTATTAATTTCTTTCAGAAAAAGAACAATAATTTACGATGCCAAACTTCTGAACGGTAGTGTATATTGTTACAAAAGATATTCTATTTTAAATAAATACTGTTCTTTTTAACTTTTTATTCATCAAAGTATCCTGAAAAAAGTATCACAAGTTCCAAAAAATATTAAGCAGCAACATTGATAATAAACCAGCATATTAGAATGATTTCTGAAGGATCATGTGACACTGAAGACTGGAGTAATGTGTTTTACATTGCAATAATATTTCACAATATGACTTTTTCTGTATTTTTGATTAAATAAATGTAGTCTTAATGAGCAGAATACATGTATATATGGCAAACTAACCTGTGATGGAGGAACAGCATGAAATTTATTCAAAACATCACCTTTTGTGTTCCCCGGAAGAAAGTAATACAGGTTGGGAGTAAATGAACTTACATTTTTGGTGGCCTAACCTTGTAAGAAATGGCAAAAGCTAGTTAAATCAACATTTGAGTGTGTAAGATACTGTTAGCGAGGCTCTCCTGCCGTCTGCAGGGCTTTATAGCCTGTGATGCAAATGTAAAACTTAGGCCAGGGTGTTTATTCCAGTAGGTTTGTGATCATAACGACAGTCAACGTGTATTGCTGGGAAGTTTATATCTCTTTTGACTGGAATGATTCAGTTTCTAGAGAGTGGGCAAGAATTACTTTTACGTTTTGATCTAGTCAGAGCATGAAATCTTACATTTTCACACGAGTTCCACTGATTTCTACACATGCTTTATCACGAAAAGCATTTTATTTTATTTTTTGCATGTTGACCTAAAACATTTTGGTAACTCCATATTCAAAGGTGCATCAGACAGTAATATAATCCAGATTATGGTCTGTCCGGCCTGTCTAGAATATTCTAATTCTTTGGCAAAGCTCCTACAGTGCACTGCTCATTTCTAGACCAACTTAAAAGACAAGATTCAGTTAGGCATTAAAGTCTGTGAAATAAAACTAATCAAAAGACATAAAAGAAGAACAGTATGGAAATTGTTGCGAGAAGGCCTAAAACTTTGCCGTGACTACTACAGCAGTTACTCACTGAGAACATGGCTGGTGCTAGTGCTTACCCTGACTGAGAGGCCATGGCCTCAACCAATGAACCATTGCAAGAGGATTGAGAGAGAAAATTCCAGACAACTCGATGGTTCTTCCCAGCAATGGCTCCCTCTCGTTTAGTAGCGTCCACTTTGAGGCACAGTTTCTTGATCGGCAGCTTTCCCACTTCAGTCGTCGCTGCTGTATTTCCTGGGAGTTGAGATAAATCTGACTCAGGGAGGGGAGGTTACAGTCAGTCTGAGGAACAAACCACTGCGCTGAACAGAGGAGACACAGCTACAACATACAGGTGAGGACTGAAGCATGATGATCTGTACCAAATCCTAGTAACCATTTGACCATCAAGTGAAAAAAACAAAACATATACCCAACTAAACAAAATGCTTGAATGTTTCACAGAGTCTACACTAACAACAAACTCATCCTTCTACATTTGATCAATATTATGTCCACGTGAAGTTACAAGTTACCTACACAAGTCCTTTTTCGCTGAGAGCAAACACCCCTCCGAGTGCTGTGGAGAATGGTGCAGTCCACCAGCGCCCATATAAGGACTCCCCTCTGTGACGTTAAGAGTCGCAGCAGCCAATCAGCTGCTGTCTCTCAGTAAACGCATGCCCTCCCCCACTTGGGTCTGAGCCAACACCATCAACGTCAGTTTCCTTAAAGGGACAGATGCAGTTTTTCTCCGAGTCCAGAGGGAAAGCACGTCAAAAACATTAGTAAACCCAGGAGGTGATGAGGCAATTAGATGCAATATGGGAATCACCAAAAAACAATTCTGACTAACCATTCTGGGTCGAGCTGCATAAACATAGCCACTATGTTAAAACGGTGTCTTTAGTTTGACCAACTAGCAGTTAGCCAAGTCTTAATCAGTCTTACTTTGCGAATTACACTAGTCTTGATCAGTCTTACCAGACTAACTTTTCAGTCTAAGCAGTTTAGGCAACTGGCCCCATATGAAAATTAAGCATATCGCCCAACACTAACACCTAAATTTTACAACTACCTTATTAACTATTAATAAGCAGCAACTTTGAGGAGTTTGAGGCAAAAGTTGTAGTTGATGGTTTGTTAATAGCCAGAATTGGACCTTAAAATAAAGTGTGACACCAAACTTTTTAATTTGAAAAATCACACACTGAAATGACAGGAACAAATGTTTGTAAATGAAACCATTTAATTTTACATCGTGACTTGGTATAATTCTAGGGGGAAATTATGACGCTAAACCAGGTGGGTCGATGGTAATTAGCCTTTAAATATGTATCTTAAAATAGGCAGGCGAGTGACACTGTGACTTTTTAGTCAAGTAAAATAAATAGATTTAAAAAAACGTTAAAAAATTTTTAAATTTAATTTTAAAGGGTTAGTTCACCCCAAAATGAAAATTCTGTCATTAATTACTCACTCTCATGTCGTTCCAAACCCGTAACACTTCGTTCATAAATTAATTATATTTTTGATGAATTCTGAGAGCTCTCTGACCCTCCCATAGACAGCAAGGTAACTACCACGATCAAGGCTCAGAAACGTAGCAAGGACATCGGATTAAACAGTCCATGTGACATCAGGGGTTCAACCGTAATTTTACGAAGCTACGAGAATACTTTTTGTGCACAAAGAAAACAACAATAACAATTTAGAGAATAAAAGTTACGCTTTCTTTCTTTGCGTGAACATTTGGGCGGTGTTATGCAAATCTTCCCACATAGTGAGGTAGATATGTGGGGGCGTGTTCGAACGAGCCGTTTTAGGTAGGTGTGGCTAACTCTTAACTTTTATAAAGAATATCTCTTTGGATTTGAGACTTTAGTCTTTGCAACTTTACAGATCTTCTTTATGCACCAAGAGCTTGTAACACTCTAAAGAGAAAGGAAAAAATGAAATCGCATCATATGACCCCTTTAAAATAGAAAACTGTTTTACATTGCAATAATATTTCACAATATGACTTTTTCTGTATTTTTGATTAAATAAATGTAGTCTTAATGAGCAGAATACATGTATATATGGCAAACTAACCTGTGATGGAGGAACAGCATGAAATTTATTCAAAACATCACCTTTTGTGTTCCCCGGAAGAAAGTAATACAGGTTGGGAGTAAATGAACTTACATTTTTGGTGGCCTAACCTTGTAAGAAATGGCAAAAGCTAGTTAAATCAACATTTGAGTGTGTAAGATACTGTTAGCGAGGCTCTCCTGCCGTCTGCAGGGCTTTATAGCCTGTGATGCAAATGTAAAACTTAGGCCAGGGTGTTTATTCCAGTAGGTTTGTGATCATAACGACAGTCAACGTGTATTGCTGGGAAGTTTATATCTCTTTTGACTGGAATGATTCAGTTTCTAGAGAGTGGGCAAGAATTACTTTTACGTTTTGATCTAGTCAGAGCATGAAATCTTACATTTTCACACGAGTTCCACTGATTTCTACACATGCTTTATCACGAAAAGCATTTTATTTTATTTTTTGCATGTTGACCTAAAACATTTTGGTAACTCCATATTCAAAGGTGCATCAGACAGTAATATAATCCAGATTATGGTCTGTCCGGCCTGTCTAGAATATTCTAATTCTTTGGCAAAGCTCCTACAGTGCACTGCTCATTTCTAGACCAACTTAAAAGACAAGATTCAGTTAGGCATTAAAGTCTGTGAAATAAAACTAATCAAAAGACATAAAAGAAGAACAGTATGGAAATTGTTGCGAGAAGGCCTAAAACTTTGCCGTGACTACTACAGCAGTTACTCACTGAGAACATGGCTGGTGCTAGTGCTTACCCTGACTGAGAGGCCATGGCCTCAACCAATGAACCATTGCAAGAGGATTGAGAGAGAAAATTCCAGACAACTCGATGGTTCTTCCCAGCAATGGCTCCCTCTCGTTTAGTAGCGTCCACTTTGAGGCACAGTTTCTTGATCGGCAGCTTTCCCACTTCAGTCGTCGCTGCTGTATTTCCTGGGAGTTGAGATAAATCTGACTCAGGGAGGGGAGGTTACAGTCAGTCTGAGGAACAAACCACTGCGCTGAACAGAGGAGACACAGCTACAACATACAGGTGAGGACTGAAGCATGATGATCTGTACCAAATCCTAGTAACCATTTGACCATCAAGTGAAAAAAACAAAACATATACCCAACTAAACAAAATGCTTGAATGTTTCACAGAGTCTACACTAACAACAAACTCATCCTTCTACATTTGATCAATATTATGTCCACGTGAAGTTACAAGTTACCTACACAAGTCCTTTTTCGCTGAGAGCAAACACCCCTCCGAGTGCTGTGGAGAATGGTGCAGTCCACCAGCGCCCTTATAAGGACTCCCCTCTGTGACGTTAAGAGTCGCAGCAGCCAATCAGCTGCTGTCTCTCAGTAAACGCATGCCCTCCCCCACTTGGGTCTGAGCCAACACCATCAACGTCAGTTTCCTTAAAGGGACAGATGCAGTTTTTCTCCGAGTCCAGAGGGAAAGCACGTCAAAAACATTAGTAAACCCAGGAGGTGATGAGGCAATTAGATGCAATATGGGAATCACCAAAAAACAATTCTGACTAACCATTCTGGGTCGAGCTGCATAAACATAGCCACTATGTTAAAACGGTGTCTTTAGTTTGACCAACTAGCAGTTAGCCAAGTCTTAATCAGTCTTACTTTGCGAATTACACTAGTCTTGATCAGTCTTACCAGACTAACTTTTCAGTCTAAGCAGTTTAGGCAACTGGCCCCATATGAAAATTAAGCATATCGCCCAACACTAACACCTAAATTTTACAACTACCTTATTAACTATTAATAAGCAGCAACTTTGAGGAGTTTGAGGCAAAAGTTGTAGTTGATGGTTTGTTAATAGCCAGAATTGGACCTTAAAATAAAGTGTGACACCAAACTTTTTAATTTGAAAAATCACACACTGAAATGACAGGAACAAATGTTTGTAAATGAAACCATTTAATTTTACATCGTGACTTGGTATAATTCTAGGGGGAAATTATGACGCTAAATCAGGTGGGTCGATGGTAATTAGCCTTTAAATATGTATCTTAAAATAGGCAGGCGAGTGACACTGTGACTTTTTAGTCAAGTAAAATAAATAGATTTAAAAAAACGTTAAAAATTTTTTAAATTTAATTTTAAAGGGTTAGTTCACCCCAAAATGAAAATTCTGTCATTAATTACTCACTCTCATGTCGTTCCAAACCCGTAACACTTCGTTCATAAATTAATTATATTTTTGATGAATTCTGAGAGCTCTCTGACCCTCCCATAGACAGCAAGGTAACTACCACGATCAAGGCTCAGAAACGTAGCAAGGACATCGGATTAAACAGTCCATGTGACATCAGGGGTTCAACCGTAATTTTACGAAGCTACGAGAATACTTTTTGTGCACAAAGAAAACAACAATAACAATTTATTCAACAATTCTTCTCCCCGAGTTACCGTCTTCCACCATTTTGGGGAGTACCACAGAACATAATCAGCGTTGTTTACGTTCAGCATGCGCGCCTTTTCTACTAAACAATGCTGATCAAAAATATCTTAATTTGTGTTCTGAAGATGAACGGTCTTATGCATTTGGAACGGCATGAGGGTGAGTAATTAATGACAGAATGTTTATTTTTAGGTGAACTAACCCTTTAATTCTTCACCCTGTTTTTAATTCAGTGCAATGAAACATAAAATAAAACATTTTAGGGGTTGTTCACACAGAATGCGTCTTTGCATCTAAAAACGTGAGACGCAGTTCTCAGGAATGGTTTTTAAACGCTGCACAGAATGTCTCCTTCCCCATGTTGCTGTCAAATAATACAGTTGCCATGCCAACTTGCTATTGTAAACAAAAAGCTCTTCATGCTTGCCCCGCCTCCGGACTCTTCTGATTGGTCCACTGTTTTGGAACTGACATTGATGAGCGGCGCTGCATGTAAAAGTTGAAATTCTTTTAACTTAATACAACATTTTAAAAACACGGTGCTGGCGTGCGAGACACTGCAAAGGGCACGAGACGGGAGTGCTACAGCCGTCTAGCGTGTTTACATAGAAAAACAATGGAAAAGTAGCGCATAAGAATGAGAAAACCCATTCTTTGTGAACAGCCCCTTACAGCCACATATTATATTTAATATTTATCCCCTATATCCTCCAGTTCTATATGATTGTCCTTTTTGGGTCATTGTGTTTTTTTTAACTAAAACATTAACAAACGACACAGTGACTAATGAGTATTTTTGAGACATGTGAATTACTACAAACTACAGTCCTTTAAATCAGAATTTGAATATTTAATGAATCAAGCTTATCAACACTGAACTTTCTTACATGTCACAATGGTTATATACACACGGTTTCTTAATTTTATACTGCTAGCATATTTTATACTAATTTATCAATGTACAGCTAAAAGTACAGTCACATTTAAGGTTGTTCTGTACATTTCCATAGACAGAATCCAGTCATTTCAATAGGAATCCATGTGATCAGTAATTTCACATGAGGGTGAAAGATTTCCCAAGTAACTGGTGAACTGCTCATTATTACTAATCGAAGCTGCCGGGGTGGAAAGTGACTTCATACATTGCTACGATACTGAGCAATGAACAAGATCCCAAATTACTTTAATAAGGTAATTCAAAACGCTTCAGACTTCCAACATCTCCAGCGAGGTTAAGAGGATCCTTAAGCTTTTAAACTAGGACATGCATGGTTCTGTAACATGCAAATAAAGTTTTAAGGGTATAAACAAATTGTCTGTTTTTTCATTTCCTTTGTTAAAATGCAAATATATCCAAGTAGCTGAGAGAACATTTTAGTCGTTGTAAAGCAATATTCCCTTAGCACTGGGAAATATTCTGCCCAAATTTTATGCAAACTTTCATTATGCCTGAAAGAAGAGCTTGTCTCAAATTCAAAGCACAGAAAGACAATATAGCACATAGGTCAGATTGGACACTAATGTACTACTATGGATAACAAAACATTTTTAAGGCTGACTTTAAGACAACACTATTTGCACTGCAATAACCTGAGAGTAAACCACACACACACACGCTTGCATCTGTGCAATATTAACTTCTTTAAAGAAGCCCTTTGCACTCAACTGTAAAAAAACATTTTTCAGAAAGTACCGGCCCTTCCATATTTATTCCTTTCTACACTGTATTTGTGAATTGGTGTTAAGTGAACAGACGGCACAGGATATCTTGACTTTCTACGTGATGATATCTCTCAGGATTGTGTGCTCAGGGCGTGTGCCAGAGTCACGCACACAAGCAAGCAAGCAACCCAGAGCCTGGTGCATGTGCCGATTGTTTTAGGGTGTGCTCACACTTGTAGTTAGGTTCATTTGGTCCGGACCAAAAAGGAAAATGATACATTTGGTCCTGGTCCGCTTAGCGTTCACATTGACATTTTTGACAGCGAACCTAAAGGCATAGTGATACGTTCACAACCTGATTGGTCGGCTTGAATGACGTATATATCGTGACGGAACTCATTGAACACCCCAAACAAAAGGTGTGTTAGACTTAAAGCGGTGTATGATATCAAAGCACCCATTAACCGATCGGTCTGCTCAGCGCCGCTTTAAGTCAAACACACCTAATGCCGTCTGCTGAACTAAGCGCACTCATTCTTGCGTGAACATTTTATTTTATTTTCACCACCAGCAAGCTCACAAGGAACTCATAAAAGGCACTTTACCTAATTAGGGCCTTTCACACCGCTTTAGTTCCAGAACTAAATGTACAGTACTAAAGTACTGGGACGATTTTGCGCGAACTATTTCCCAGTACCATTTAAAGGGTTGCATTCACACCGACAGTGCGTACTAAGAAGTGACATAAGCCGGTCGACAGCGACGTCATTTGTGCGCGGCGTTCAACAACGCGCACCAGGGTTCGGATGGCAGCGTTCACACTTACTCAAACGAACCGCACTAACAGAGCAATCGCACCAGGGTTTGTTTTAATCGAACCAAACATGACAAGTGTGAACGCACCCTTATAGTCTGTGTTTCTAAGGTACTTTGTGGATGGGAAAAACTGGGAAAACCTGGGGGGGTGATTTTATAAATAACTAAATTTTCCAGAGCAAACTCAATCTAATTTTGATAGTAAACCTTATAACATGAAAGAAATCTGGGAAATATGTTGATTAAATGATAAACTGACAATGTTTGCCATGGTAAAATAATTCATTTTTCTCCAATTATACTGATCAATACAAATGTAATTTTCCAGTCTGAATTTGATGAAGAGAAAACAAAAACAGCGGACATCCTTCAGTTGTGTTGTTTTGTCCTCATGCGCAAGAACCAACACAACACCAGTCTAGTCGATTTTAAGAGCGATGATTCATTTACACTAATGGTTTGAATCAGCTTGACGAATCCTTCACTAAATGAGTTCACTGAGACAATTTTTGTGTACTGAAGGTGTACATAAAACTTTACTTCATGTAATTTCACGATGATTCAAATTTGACGTTCCTGCCAAACTCTTTTCCTTGCAGAATGGGCAGAAAAAAAACGTCATTGGAAAATAAACAACTCATTACCAAATGTTCTGTACATTAAAACATTTTCTAAAAAGCCAATGCCTGGCAGTATACAGCATCTCAAAATGTCACTGATTTCACTAAAGTAAGATCACTTTTGGCTAAAAAAAAAATGTTCTAATTGCATAATTTCTTGGAGAGCAATGATGGAGGGTACAGGACAAACTCTGGTGTAAATAATGAAGACCATATCAATATTTCTCAGAAGCTGGTTAACACATTTGAAGACTAAAAACATTCAGCAGCACTTTTTTCACTGGCTTTTCATAAACAGTTTAGCCAAGTGTGACACATAGGATTAGTGGTCGACCGATATTGGTTTTTTGACAGCAGATGCCGATATCTTGGAAAGCAGGGTGGCCAATGGCCGATATAATTTTATTTATTTTAATTAATATTTAAGAAATTTAAAAATAATTTGAAAATGGATTAAAAAATAAACATACTTATACTTTAGATGACAAAGTATTTTTTCACAAATAAATACATATTTAATAAAAAATATAATAAAAAAACGAAGTAAACACTGTAACCAACAGGGCACTCAGTATTCTGGGAAGTTTGTGTGCATCGTGAATCATATTTTTTTTTAAATAAAGCTAAGGTAACACTCATTTTACATACAGCACACAGTGAAAATGACATTAATATGGCAGTGGGCAAATGAAAAAACACACGATCATGCAGGATACACATACACACTTCACAAGATCTCACAACTGGATCCGACTACGTTTGCAAGGTTTTTGAAATTGGATGTTTATTAGTGGCCGATGCCGATATTTAAAAAATGCCAAATATCGGCCGATATATCGGTCGACCACTACATAGGATTCATCTTGTGATTGCCATTACATGAAATGTATGAAATTCTGTTTGACTTTTGCATGCTTTCATTTGCACTCCTGACACAGTTGCATAATTTGTCAACTTTAATAACATTTTTGGACAGCAGTCTATTCACTAAACGTAAACAAAATAGGATAATAGGATTACAGAATCAAGACGTTTCTATGAGTAAAGAAGAAAAAAGAACTTTGCTATGAGTTTATACAGTACGTTTTCAAGTAGAATGACCTCGTGTTAAAAGATCAAAGCAATTTTGATTTCTCAATGCTTGACCTCTATAACTGCAACTCAATCCTCTGGAAAACTTTCCATATTATATAAACAGGAAACGTGCAGGCCTCAGGCCGTGCAACAAGAATGGTCAACTGTGTGTTGAAAAACAGGCTTTTACAGCTCCTTTTACAGACTGGGAATTTTCTGCAGTAAATGAATGCTTCCAGCTCTTCTGACCTCATCCAGGCCTGCTCAAGCTGCAAACAACAAACTAAAGTTGCTCTCAAAGAAAGAAAAGAACTTGTAGCACGGCCTGTTGGATCCCTGCACGCTGCAGAAGCTTTATAAACTGACAGTGACAAAACTTTGCCAAGTGTCAGGGGTGTGCGATATATATCGTCTGCGATAATATCGTAATTGTTGTTTTAACGATGTGCGATTTGACATTATCGAGTATTTTGCAAAAACCATTCTAGTCCTAAACGCAGGCAGAGGAAATGGTCAAGCCACGCAGCACAACTGAAACAGGAAGCCCTGCAGAGAGTCAAGAGCCATAACGGTATTTATACACGTGATGCGCTGAGCTCAACAATACACCTTTTGTCACAATGAACATGGTGGACTCTTCTGATGACAGTGTACGGGCAGGAGTCAGAGTCAGTGTGAGTGTGTTTAGTTTGGTTACATAAGCAGCACAAGGTCTGTCCCAGCTCATGATTTACATCTGTGCCGGGGGCCTGCAGGTCTGCACGAGTTAGCTGGGAAATTTCACCGCGAATTTAAGCAACGTTTGCGTAAAACTCTATTACTTCTGAAAGTGGAATCCAGTGGATATTTCTCATTTTTAATCATGGTTTGCATAAAAAATGTGCTAACGTTTGGCAGTTTGGTCAAACAATGAATCAAGAAAAAGATGCTAAAAGCCATGGAGGATTTTAATACAACGTAAAGGCGACAGTTTTTCAGCAGCACTGGTTCCGGAAGATTTTTTTTTCCCCACATAGAAAAAAAAAACTTTGTTAAAGAGTTATAAGCCATGAATCAAGAGAATCACAACATCACAAACTTTTATCTAAATAAATAAACAAAAGGTTTGAGATTGTGTACTAAACAGATTTAGTGAAAGAACTACAACCCCATGAAGCATTGCAAATGACAAACAATTTAAGAATGACAGATGGAGTATAACACTTAATTTATAGATGATTATGTATATAGAAACAAGTTTTAAAATTTTAATTTTATTGCAAAAATGCATTATATATATATATATATATAGTGTCTTATGCTCATCAAGGCTTTATTTAAAATAACGTTTTCTATCTTAATATACTCAGCATCATTACTCCAGTCTTCAGTGTCACATGACCATTCAGAAATCATTCTAATATGCTGGTTTATTATCAATGTTGGAAACAGTTGTGCTGCTTAATATATCTTTGGAACCTGTGATACTTTTTTTTTTTTCAGGATTCTTTGATGAATAAAATATTCTAAATAAAAATCTTTTGTTACAATCTACACTACCATTCAAAAGTTTGGGGTTAGTACATTTTTTTATTTTCTTTTTCGAAAGAAATTTTTTTTTTTTTTTCAGCAATAATGCGTTGAAATGATAAAAAGTGACAGGAAAGACTTATATTGTTAGAACAATTTTCTATTTTGAATAACAGTTTCCAAAAAAATAATAAAAAACGCAACACTGAAACAAAATCATGGGTAATGTAGTTTTCCACCAGGCAGGAACTCCACTGATAAACATGATTATTTGAAATTATGCAAACAAATAGCCTAAACAAAAGCATATACCATTGATTAACAACTTCATAGCTCACAGTAGGTCTGCCTTAAAAGCTTCCCAAGTTAATGTTAAAAAATAAATTCCCCTACAGAAAAAATAAACTGAATTTTTACTTCCAGAACCTGACTGTTGGACTGTATGGAAGGCGAGGTTGAACCATTGCATTGTGGGATACAGTAGCCAGCACAGTATATTCTGTTCACTTCAGTCACACTGAAAAACAATAGGTCTTCTTTACTGTTATAACTCACATAGCTATCTTGTGCATTTTATACTTGCATACAACTTGCCACTATCAACATGAAAATGTTTTAGCATGCTTTCACAAAATATCGTGTAGCACTGAAGTGGTGCTCTTCTCTACGAACAGCAAGATGCTGATGCACTCTTTGCATTGCCCTTCGGACTGAGAAGACACACTCCCTAATCACTAAACAAACACCCTATGAAGTCCACTTTGCAGGGCAGCAGAGGAAACTGGAACGCACTACAAAGGCAGAAGCTAATCAGAGTATTTGCAGAATTTGCAGACTACACAGAGCATGTCTACTTTATACCACAGTAAGCAGTAATACGCAGCCTTGTTCCTGCTCTAGCTACTGACTTTAAAATGGCCTCCAAACATGGATAATGCAATAGATTTGCCCTTAAAAGTACATGGAGCACGCACTAAAGACGGTGTATTAAAAACACATGCAAAGAATAAATAAAAACACTGACAACAGTCAAAAATTACTCTAAAACATATCACAGCTAAACCACTCAATTTTATTTTAATTAGTTAATCTCAAATAAAATGACTAAATACAACCAAATGTGCTTAGTATTCACAACAGTACCTAGTCTGAACCGAATTGAGGTGATCTTTTTAAAATCTATTCGACAAGCTGCTGTCTTTTGGCCCGTGTTTACATTTTGTCAAGTCGGTGACGCCAAAGCTAACGTTACTAAACATTGGTACGTCGTTTAAAGCACTAACGACACAGTCAAAAAATTTAACAAGATACACTTCTGGAGTCAAAAGTTAACCAAATATAATAATAATAATTAAAAAACCCAGTAGAGCTACGGAACCGGTCCGCGAGGTGTTTACTTGACTCTCCCATTAGCATTTAACGATGTGTAGATGGTGGTAAAACTCCACGAATTGAATTTAAACGAAGTTAAATACGCTGAAATGACGTAAAAGCCAATTTCTAGTAAAAAACATGCCAAAAATGGTATTAAATAGGAACGCTAACGCTAACATCTGAGGGCGCTAGATACAGGGAAACGTGTAATGATACGTTTGCAATCACGAACTGGCCACGATGAATTCTGATTGATAATAAATAAATAACTAAAAGGATGTGTCTAGGAATGCTTCGATGTGTTACAGCTAGCATGTTAGCTAAACACTTTAACACACACGTAGAAAGAGGAACAACGCTAGCTCTGCTTCGTTAACAACTTGCTACAACTGATCTCCTGAATAAAGCATCAAATGTTACTGTATGTGCGTACGCGTGGATCTTTTCACTTATGTAATCGCCCGATTTATGGCCCACTTACCTCTTGGCTTCTTTTAGGCCAGAAGCATTCTAGCTATGAAAGCCTTTCCCTTTGTCTCGGTCCGCTTCCACACTGATCTGCTGCCGCGTCCCAATAAATGTGTCAGCCACCAACAAGAAACACGAAAATGCTCTAAAAGACACAGCTCGTTTAAGTGAGCCATACCGCCGAGGGTCGTCTGCTCGTCATGGTTGTGTCGGACTGATTTTTCCAGCAGATCATGATCATTTTTAGGAGATCGTCGCGTATCTGGCCGATTTCGGCTTCGTAAACTAACCCGGTCACGTGACGAGAGCGGGCTGCGTCTCAAACCCAGAGTGCAGACTACCTAGACGACATTTGTGCAGACTACCTAGACAACATTTGTGCAGACTACCTAGACGACATTTGTGCAGACTACCTAGACGACATTTGTGGCCAGTCTCAGACACCTCAGATTATTATTTTTACGATTTCAGTTTCTATTATGTGTCTTAAACCGTTAAATACCTATTTTTATCAAAAGGCGTTTACTTTTAATTGTTGCTCATTGCTATTCCAAAATTGAAATTTTTTTTTTTTTATAATTTAATAAATCAGTTTTTTTTATTTATCCAAATAATCTAATAACTAATTCGTTGGACTACGGTATAAACATGATTTATATTCTTAATGTTTTTTAGGGCTGTCCAAATCGAGAGTAATCGCATCCAAAATAAGTCTTTGTTTACATGATATGTGTGTACTGTGTATATTTATATGTATATATAAATACACACATATTTACACATGTGTATATATATTACATGTATTACTTAAATATATACATGTATGTGTGTTTATACATACATATACACAGCACACACACATATATCATGTAAACAAAAAAAACGTATTTTGAATTTGACAACCCTAATTTTAATAAAATAATTATTTTGCCATTATACTGGTGTAGCAGACTAAATATTTGTAAAAGTATTTTTATCAAGTTATGTCTAACTATTAAGTCTGCAGTGCTGTGAGACTGATCATCCATTGTTTTTATTAAGGAACGTGCAAATTAAACATTTTCTGACTTTTTTTTATGAGACGTGCTGCATTTTCAAGAGATTATTTAATATTGCTAATTTCGCATTTACATCATATCCCACAACAGGTACATTTCTTTCTGTAAGAAATCAGTTTATTTCATGAGACCATCTTAAAACGAAGACCATGTTAATACGTCTGCCGCAATTCCTACATAATGGTCATTTAAAAAAAAAATGCATTTATGGTCAAAACGATGCAAAAGAAACCAACTGAATGAATGAATAAATCATTGCAGTATTTTAACTTTTTTGCTTGAGACACCACTACACTCTGCCAAGGAGAGAAAACAAAGTTGTAAATAAGCAAATGTAACAGTGGATGCGTTTGATTTTCACATTCTACAAAAAATGATGACAATATACATATATATACACATACATCTCTGAATTTCTTTACATACACGACTTCCCACCCTACTCTCACTTATTCAATAGCAGTGTTCTTAGTACGGTCAATGTATATGACACGAGTTCTGTATATGACTCCGATTAATTGGACCCTCATTTCTTCTTTTTTCTCTTCTTTGGAGGGCCTTCGTCAGAACTGCTTGCGGAATCGGAATCAGAGTCGGAACTGGAGGAAGACGAGGAGGAGGAGGAAGGGCTGGAGCTGTCATCGCTGTCACTGCTACTGTCTTCAGACGAGGATGAGGAGCTCGAGGAACCGCTGCTGTCCGAGGAAGAGTCATTGGAAGAGCTGGACGAATCACTACTGCCGCTGCTGGAACTGGAGGAGGACCTAAAAGAGAACAGCATGTGCTAGAAGTGCTACTTTACACCACAGCGGCCCAAATCTGTGTTTGTTCCTCACATGTGGCACAGATCAGTTGTTAAATCGGCAGTGTGAACAAAAACAAAACACTGAAATCTCACATTTTCCACTTCTGATCTATAATATATCCGATACATAACTGTTTTGCAGGTCAGAGGTGTAATGGAAAAGTGCTATTAATTATGAATAAACATACTGATTGAATGATATGTGATTATTATGGTACAAGTAATCAATTATAACAATTGATAATAAAAAAAATATATAAAAATCAGACATGAAACCCAACTCTATCTAGGATTGCAGAAAGGTGAAACCATGAACAATTCCCTGGAATGCACTAAGAATCTTTCATTTTTCGCCCCAAAGCCTCATCTCTTTCCAGGTTTGTTTTCCCACAGATGCTGTAAAATGTAATTGTTACGAAATAAAGACATATAGTACTATAATGATGTTCCATAACATTGCTGCGGATAGGAGGATCTTTAGGAGTTATTCATGGTATGTTGAAAGTGATTTATTAATGCTTTTACACTTTAAAATTTCCTTTTAATGAACGATGGTTGAAGGGTGAGTAAAATAATGTCACCTTATTGTACCCAGTTTTTGAAAGTGCTTATTATTGCTTATTATTATTGTCATAGAGCGAACCTTTTGCTGATTGTTTACAGTGTAAATGGAACTCCCATAATTTGCGCAAAGCCTCATGGTGCGTAGGAAAAAGGTGAATAATAATCAGTGTTGCCAAGTCCGCCGTTTTCCCGCAGAATTGGGCTACTTTAAAGGGATAGTTCACCCAAAAATGAAAATTTGATGTTTATCTGCATTTTTCACATATTTTACCTTTATTCCACACCTCTCTGTCCCTTCTCCTCTGAACGCTCTGATCATTTCCTGCTTTTATGAAGCCCCTCCCTCAGAAACGCAATTTTTAACTGGGGACCCCCTCGAATCGCGATTGGGCTCGTTTTCGGCTACTTTTGAGTAGCGATTGGGCGGGTTTTCTTGTGAAAACCTGGCAACCCTGATAATAATGCAGTGTACAGTTCTGCATTCTGCGCTTTCGCCTGATAATAACAAAAAATAAAGTAGAATTCTTGTACTGATATAAACGCTTTCGATTGGCTGGATTTGTCGTCATGGCTCCGTCATTCACGGAAAGCTCCAGAGCCATCTAGAACTCCCGAACTCTCGCGATAAAACCGTTAACTTCAGCGTGAACTCCATCTTTTACCCGTTGCATGCAGCAGAGACAGCCGGTCTGCAGCAGCATCGACTTTAGTCAATGGACAACCGAGAACTATGAAATCGCGTTAAACACGACTTTTAGGAATAACAAGCTCAACCGCGCTTCTCCGTGACTCTTATATATTTTTAAAGGACACTTCTTGCTAGTATTCAGTATTTTAGCCGGACTGTATTTGTGAAGATGTCAGTGGTGGGATTTGATGTGGGCTTCCAGAGCTGTTATGTTGCTGTGGCTCGGGCCGGTGGAATAGAGACCGTAGCGAACGAATACAGCGACCGATGTACACCGTGAGTCAAATAACGTTACTTTCATTCTGCTTTAGAGACTGCATGTATTGTAAAATTGACCTGTCACGGTCCATTCACGCGGTGACATCAAAACTAAAAAGCGTGGAACGTGAACAGAGCGTGTTTTCTTCCATCATGTCATTTGATTTGATCTAAATAATGTAAAACTAGTGAAGACATGTTTTTCATTGTGATGAAGGAGAGCGGTTAGCTGCACGCTAGAGCGTGGCTCGCGCTGCTGTGACGTCACGCCGGCGGCCGCAGGAACATTCTAGCACATTTTAATAAGACCGCTCGGAAACCCGACACGCGTTACTCTGAACAACTGCTTATTATACATTTCTTCTTATTGTCGTTCAAGTATATCATTTAAGCATTTACATGACTTTTAACGTGTTACTTAAAATATTAACTGATGTTAAATGATAGTTTCTGATGGCTTGAGATAATAGGAATTAGTGCTGTCACGCGATTAATGGCATCCAAAATAAAAGTTTGTTTACATTATATATGTATATGTACTGTGTATATTAATCATGTATGTATAAATACACACACATACAGTATATATTGAAAATATTTTCATTTATATATTAATATTCTTATATTTTATATTATATATAATTATACTGAATATATAAACATAACATATTTTTCTTAAATATATACATGCATTTGTTTGTATTTAAATATACACCGTATACACACACATAATTTGTAAACAAAAACTTTTATTTTGGATGCGATTAATCGTTTGACAGCACTAATTAGGAATTAATGGCAGGCTGATCTAAGATAAGTCAGTGTAATTTACGTTAGATTACTACATTTTAGTAGATGCTTTCCTTGTGCAAATAAGTCCACAAAACCGAACAGAACTTCTGTTTATCAGTCAAACTGACAAGGTTATGAATCTCAAAAAACACAAATCTCAGGCATTTCATTAACTTGATTTTAATAGTTATAAAATGGCTTTTGGAATTGGGGTGTCTTCACTTCAAAGAGAAAATCTTAGTAATAGTGATGTTGTATATTAGAGGATGCTTCAGGTTATTACTTTATTAAAATGCTTTTAAAATGTGCTTACTTTAAAATGATGATATACCAGTCTAAAGAAAGAGTATGAATGAATGAAAGAAATTTATTTCGAACAGTTAAAAAAAAGAATGAAAAAAAAACCCAAAATAAAATATACAAATTAATACAAAATAAGCAATACAAAACCAACGAAGAAATTTTTTTTACATCATACTCAACCCGTTCGAAAAGGGATAGGTAGAAGCCATAGGCTAGTACTAGTTAAAGGGATAGTTCACTCAAAAATTAAAAATATTCTGAATATGTGCTCACCCTCAGGCCATCCAAGATGTAGATGAGTTTGTTTCTTCATGGGAACAGGTTTGGAGAAATGTAGCATTGCATCACTTGCTCACCAATGGATCCTCTGCAGTGAATGGGTGCCGTCAGAATGAGAGTCCAAACAGCTGATTTAAAAAGTCACACAAATCCACACGACTTCAGTCCATCAGTTAATGTCTTGAGAAGCGAAAATCTGCATGTTGTTAATAAACAAATTAATCATTAAGACACGTTTAACTTCAACATACAAGTCCATAATCCATAAAATTGCTTCCTGGAGTGAAAAAAATTGTCTTGTCTGAATCAGGAGAGAAATATGCACAGATTAAGCACCGTTTGCAGGCAAAAACAGTTCTAAGCAAATATGTGGCTGGGTTTTACAGGACAACGGGAGATGGACGTTTTCAATGGATGAAGCGTTTTTATGGATTATGGACTTTTGGTGCAACGTTTTGAAGTTGAAACGCCTAAATGATGGATTTGTTTCTTACAAACATGCAGTTTTTTTTACTACACAATACATTAACTGGTGGACTGGAGTGGTGTGGAATACTTGATAAAAACAGTTTTTATCAGCTGTTGGGACTCTCATTCTGACGGCACCCATTCACTGCAGAGCATCCATTGCTGAGACACTGATGCAATGCTATATTTCTCTAAAATCTGAAGAAGGAACAAACTCATCTACATCTTGGATGGCCTGAGAGTGTGTAAACTTACAGCAATTTTTAATTTTGTGGTGAGCATGAAGTTAAAGTTTCAAGAATAATGATTTAAGATCATTTTAAATTGATGTGTATTGATAATGTGTCCTTTTTAGGTCATTTGTGTCATTCGGTCCTCGTAATCGATCGATAGGGGCAGCCGCCAAAAGCCAGGTAAATGTTTATTTATTTGAAATAAGTGAGAAAACGCATTGCATGGATGGGGAGAAGTTGTAATGGTAATTTCTGTTCTCACAACAAGGTGGTCACAAACTGCAAGAACACTGTGCAGGGTTTTAAGCGATTCCATGGCAGGGCGTTCAGCGACCTGTACGTTCAGGCGGAAAAGTCCAGCCTGGTCTTTGATCTCGCTCAGATGCCAACTGGAACCACTGGTATTAAGGTAAGACTAATTAAACAGCAGTGATCGGAACAAATAGTCACGTGTATGTAAAGCACTTTGAATTAGCATTGTGTACGAAATGTGCTATATAAATAAACTTGCCTTGCCTATGTTGTAACAGCTGCTCTGTTCAGTTGTGGCTATTTCACAGTGCTTTATGCTGTCTGTCTCCACAGGTCATGTATATGGAGGAGGAGAAGGTGTTCAGCATTGAGCAGGTCACTGCCATGCTGCTGACCAAACTGAAGGAGACCGCTGAAGCTGCGCTCAAAAAACCTGTGGCAGACTGCGTCATCTCTGTACGCCGGTTCTCTATAAGTACACTTGAAATATTCACTAGAACTGCATAATCCGTCTGTAAAATGCAAAGAGCAGTGTGGTCATCTTCAGAAGGAGCTGTGATATATGAGGCAGTCAATAACGTCATCATTTATTATATGCATGATTGCACTTGGGAAAAGGCAGATTTTATTTCCGAATACCAAAAGTAATCGTATGGTAAACTGGGTTTACTAGGGACTATTGGCAGATTTGGAAAATTCTTGATTGTTTTATTGTCAGAAATGTAAACTTTATTATTGCCCATATATTAAAAGTAAGATATATATATATATATGTATATAGTATATAATACTATTGTACTGCGTGCATGCAGTACACTTTTGTGAAGCAATGCATGTGTACATATAAATAGATAGATATATAAAGATACACACAAATGCATATATATATATTGTCTCAAAAATGTAATTTAAAATGGATATATGAATATGTCTGTGAACTTTACGTCCATACATAAAGTATACTCACATAAGATGATATATACTAGCAAATCTCAATGCTTGATTGCTTGTAACTTTAATCTGCTAAATGCGTCTATAAGGTGTGAAGATATTAAGATACTATATATAATAACATTGTGATTATATATAAAGGTGCTTTGAATACATTTGACTTAATTTATGACAAATGTCACTACCTTCACCTCACATCAGCGTTTTTTTAAATTTGATTTTGAGTTGAGCATTTCTTCCTTTTTTTGACTCTTGCTGTTTGTTCTTCTCTAGCGTTAGTCCCAGTAACATCACTGATGTTATTTTTAGAATATTGCATTATTATTCATGTCTTTAGCTGTTGTAGTTACTGTGTAATGAATGTTAGTAGTTATTGTTTTTTTGGTGTTCTCATGCTCTTGCATAGGTTCCCAGCTTCTTTACTGATGCCGAGAGAAGATCAGTCATGGATGCTGCACAGATCGCAGGCCTTAACTGCCTCAGACTCATGAATGACACTACAGCAGGTAAAATACTTCAGATGGATTTACTTCACCCTAAAATGAAACTTCCGTCACTGTTTATGCCAGACCTGTCATGTCATATTCTCACTTTCATGTCATGCCAGACTTCTGTTAGTTCTATGGAACACAAAGAAAAGATTTCCTTTTCCAACAAACAGATATGGATTGTACAGCGTTGGGCCCCCAAAACATTAAAAATACAAGCAAATAAAACCGTTTCCATATGACTCTACGTCTAGTCGTCTACCTTTAGTTTGAAGAGTTTAATGTGTTCACGTGTTTACTGTAATTGTAGTTGCACTGGCGTATGGGATCTACAAACAGGACCTGCCTGCTCCTGAGGAGAAGCCCAGGATTGTGGTGTTCGTGGATGTTGGTCACGCTGGTTATCAGGTCTCTGTGTGTGCCTTTAACAAGGGCAAGTTGAAGGTGAGGCTTTTCTCTCCACATACTTTATTATGCACATTATTGTGCCATTTCTTAACTGTCAAAACATTAATATTCAGGGCAGGGTTAGGTTATTATTGTTAACTAAATCTAAAACTATTACAACATGTTTGGTAATTGAAATAAACCTACAATAAAATAAAAAATATTAGATGAGAAACATGTTTCAGTTAGTTGCCTAAACTGATTTTATTTATTTATTTTAATTAATTAACTTATTAACTTATTTAAGTTTAAGTTGAAGCACTAAAATTAGTAACTGGGGGGGGAAACCCCCCCTGAACTAAAATTTAAACAAGTATATTTAAATAAACAAAAGCTAATAAAAATGACAAAACCACATAACAAAATTACAAAAATTGTACTAACATTAAAATAAAAACAGTAAGTATATAAATAAATCTTTAAAACATTAACAAACTAATGATATATACTGTGTGTGTGCATATATATATATATGATACTAAAATAATGTGAATTTAGTTATTACATATACGATTACATATACATAGATTACATATACGTGTGTGTTTAAATATTGGACTACACAGGCATCTCGACTGTATTATGCATGACTTTCTAAACACTATTTAATTGAAAATAATATTTTTATATAGACACAAATGCTGCTTATTTAACTTTTTTTTTTTTGTCTAGCATCATTAAATCCCTTAAAATATTAAATAATTAATATATTTGAGACAAAATTTAGTTCCATTCATTTCATGAGGGGGAAAAAAAGTCACACTTATTGTCTTCAGTCTGTTTTGACCGCGAAGGATCACGAGTGAACTAAATTAGGAAAACCCAAGGGTTAAAGCACCGATTTTGTTAACAAATTCAACAATCAATTTCATAAACAATTATGAAACAGTTGGACTCCAGATTGTTGGCCACTAGCTATGTTTCCATCCAAAAATGTGAATTTATGCGCAAAACTGGAACATCGCATAAAACATTTGCGAATAAAACACCGTTTCCATCCAACAAGCCAAAGAGAACAAAATCGTCGCTTGCTGATAAACTGGCACTAATTATCACAAAAAAAGTAGGAAAAGCCACTGAATATAATAATTTTCATATATGATGAATTGCTTGCTCCTCAGAGCAAGCAGATGAAACACAATAAACGCTGTCATTGCTTTCGGAGGTGGATGCTGCTGTTTGGGAACGCAGTCGTGAGACAGTTATACAGAAATAGGCCTACTTTGATGAGACTTTGCTCAGGCATTGCAGAAAAACCAAAACAACATTTCAGATGCTGTGCAACGAGATCGGTCCGCGGGTTAGTCAAGTTATCCTGCCCAAGTGTGCAGTGTCACATGACATTTTTTTGATGAGCATGGTGGAATTTATTCGGTAAATGTGATTCCATCATAGTTTATGCGCATTTTCTCTTATCGGATAAAAAGTTTAACCTACTCGGTTGTGTGCATTTTTTTAATGCACATTTTCAGAATTTATGCTCATCTTGGCGTTTCCATCCAGGCGTTTTTTTTAATGCGATATTTCAAAATGCACATAAAAATAGGTGGATGGTAACATAGCTACTGTACACATGCGTGTCTTTTGTCCAGTGCCATGAGTTTTCTTTTTTTAAGATGAGCTGTCAAGTCAAAACCATTTAAGCTTAAAGGGATAGTTCACCCCAAAATGAAAATTCAGTCATTAATTACTCACCCTCATGTCGTTCCAAACCTGTAAGACCTTCGTTCATCTTCGGAAGACAAATTAAGATATTTTTGATGAATTCTGAGAGCTCTCTGACCCTCCCATAGACAGCAAGGTAACTACCACGATCAAGGTCCAGAAACGTAGCAAGGGCATCGTTAAAATAATCTATGTGACATCAGCGGTTCAACCGTTATTTTATGAAGCTACAAGAATACTTTTTGTGCGCAAAGAAAACAAAAATAACGACTTTATTCAACAATTCGTCTCCTCCGCGTCACCCTATAGCGCCATTTTGGAGAGTATCACATACGTAAACAACGTACATACGTAACATATGTAAACAACATATGTTCGCGGATATGCTGTTTACGTTCAGAGCAAAGTGTAAACAACGTAAACAGGAGACGAATTGTTGAATAAAGTCGTTATTTTTGTTTTCTTTGCGCACAAAAAGTATTCTCGTAGCTTCATAATATTGCGGTTGAACCGCTGATGTCACATATATTATTTTAACGATCTCCTTGCTACGTTTCTGGACCTTGATCGTGTAAGGATCCTTGCTGTCTATGGGAGGGTCAGAGAGCTCTCAGAATTCATCAAAAATATCTTAATTTGTGTTCCGAAGATGAACGAAGGTCTTACAGGTTTGGAACGACATGAGGGTGAGTAATTAATGACTGAATTTTCATTTTGGGGTGAACTATCCCTTTAAGAAACTGTTGCATAGTTTTGTACATGTGTCTATTTGATAGCAACAGTTTGTCCCTCAATGCTTTTGTTGACTGATTAACGCAGGTTCTGGGTTCTGCGTTTGACCCTGAGCTGGGCGGTAAAGACTTCGATGAGGTGCTGGTCAAGTTCTTCTGTGAGGAGTTTGCACAGAAGTACAAGCTAGACGTGCGATCGAAGCCCCGCGCTCTGGTGCGGCTCTACCAGGAGTGCGAGAAACTGAAGAAACTCATGAGTGCCAACTCCTCGGACTTGCCGCTCAACATCGAATGCTTCATGAATGACATCGACGTCTCAGGCACGCTCAACAGGTCAGTAACCGCATGCCAACAGCTAAACTGGGTGCTCAGTGTCAGCGGCGTAAATTAGGCACTGAGCTGTGACGGGGAAATGTTATGATGTCAGCAGGTTAATTCGTTAAAATACCACGTCTAATAATATCTTCATGACTCTCTTGTTCCAGAGCCAAGTTTGAGGAGTTCTGTGCAGAGCTGCTGGCTAAGGTGGAGGCTCCGCTGCGCAGCATCATGGAACAGACCAGTGAGTGCAAGCGCTTTTGCTTTTAGCAGCGTGTCTTCCCCGTCAAGCAGTGATGCAACAGTGGTGGTGTTTTTTTCCCTCCTATAACCAGGACTGAAGAAAGACGACATCTATGCAGTGGAGATCATGGGCGGCGCCTCCAGGATTCCAGCCATCAAAGAGAGAATCAGCAAATTCTTCGGAAAGGAGCTGAGCACGACGTTGAACGCGGACGAGGCTGTGGCCAGAGGATGTGCACTGCAGGTTAGTTCTTGGACATGAACTTTTTAATGGCAAATGCCGATATCTTAGAGAACAGGGTGACCCATGGCTGATATAAAGTCGATATATACTGTATCACACTATTTAAAGGAGTCATATGACGCGATTTCATATTTTGCTTTGTCTTTGGAGTGTTACAAGCTGTCTGTGCATAAATGTGACCCTGGACCACAAAACCAGTCATAAGGGTCAGTTTTTTTTAATTTGTTCAGTATTCATCTGAATACTGAATAAATAAGCTTTTCATTGATGTATGGTTTGTTAGGATAGGACAATATTTGGCCGAGATAAAACTATTTGAAAATCTGGAATCTGAGGGTGCAAAAAAATCTAAATATTGAGAAAATCATCTTTAAAGTTGTCAAAATTAAGTTCTTAGCAATGCATATTACTAATCAAAAATTCGGTTTTGATATATTTACGGTAGGAAATGTACAAAATATTTTCATGGAACATGATCTTTACTTAATAACCTAATGATTTTTGGCATAAAAGAAAAATCGATACTTTTGACCCATACAATGTATTTTTGGCTATTGCTACAAATACCCCAGCGACTGGTTTTGTGGTCCAGGGTCACATATATGCATCACGAAAACACGATAAAGCTAAACAAAACACCATAAACTAATAAAAAGGGCTTACTGAAAAAAACAAACAAACAAAAAAAAACACCTACTATTCTCCATCCCCAGACTTAACGTCTTTGTTATTTCTTCCTAAACCTCAGTCTAAATTCTGTTCATTTTTTCCCCTCATAATTGTCCTTTTCCCGGAGCACAGTTCCATGTGAGCAGGAATCCCTCTCGTGTGAGAGTCCGTTCTCCGTCCTGATACCAAACAAACGAGCGTGCCAGTGCTCGCTTTTCCTTCTCACACCAAAGATCTCAAACAAACGGAAGCGTTAAGTGTCTAACGAAGACGCGCCACTTTTCTGCCTCATATCTGCCATGAGACGAGAGATAATTGGGGAAACTGGGACAGGGTGGATCTTTCAATCACTTTCTCATGCTTTTAGATCTCCAGAACTTTTGAACGAGATTAGAAGCAGACTGTTCCTGAGCGCAGTGCGACGCAGTAATTTAGTTTTAAATCTCAGCCAAAAATAAAAAATGTCATCCTTAAAAAATTGTCAACCCTCATGTTGTTCGGCAGCTGCAGACTATTCTAGGGAACAGAAAAGAAGAAACTCTTTTCCATATGATACCGAACGAATAGCGATACAGATTATGGCCCTCAAAAATTACCATCATAAAACTTGATTGATTATATTGCAATGCAAAACTTGTGTGTCAGACAGATGGAAATATAAGCTATTATTCACCGAAAAACTTTCCATCCACCAGCATCCATTCAAATATGGTGCTGTTGGATGCAACATGTCAGGTTTCATAGTTGAGTATTGCATCTCATGTGACCAAATGGAATGCAGCAAATCTGATTATTACTGAATAACGAATTACATTTTAGTCTGTTCATTGCACAAAATCTATAGCTACTGAAATAAAAATTGGTGTAGAAACAATTTTCATCAGGAAATTGCTAGTAAATTTCACAATTACAAAGAAGATGCAAAACTCATTGAATTAAACTGGAAATTTTGAAGTAGAAAAACGTAAAAACTATTTTCTTGTGAAACGTATTAATATTATTAACAAAAATATGTTCTAAGAATGTTTTGCTAATGTTCCCATTAAGTTATACAAATGTTATTTCTGAATGTTCTCTTAATACTCAAAACGTCCAGTTTTTTAAATGTTTTAAAAACATTTTCTTGGTTATGCAAACGTTAGAAAAAATATTAAGGCAACGGTCCATTTTCTAATTTTGTAAACATTATACTTTTGGATGTTCTCTGAATGTCCTGAAACAAGTATTAATGTTTAAAAAACTACCATCTAAAAAAAAAAAAAAACGTTCCATGAACGATATATAAATAGCTAATGGTTTTTGTGTTCTAGAGAAAATATTAGAGATTTGGTCTTTAATAACATTCTCAAAATGTCAGTACAAAAAACATGTACTGTTACTGATACAATACTGATACATCTTTCATGGAAGCATTTATTCTGAAATGTTTTAGTTGCTGTCAGGACTGTGCTACTTTGAGGAGCATGGAGCAAAAGACGCGGAGACGCAGGATAATTCACAAAAACACAGTCTTTAATCCTTCCAACTCGGGGTAACACAGGGCAGGCAGGCACACATGTAGCACAAGACGAACATTCAATACCGGACAAAGGAAATCAAGAACAGACACCATTATATATGCACAAGACTAAACGAGGGTAATTACTAGGACACAGGTGAATTAAATAAACATAATGGGAACAGGAACAGGACAGACCAAATAAGGGCATAATCAAACCTGGGGGAAAACCTAGGACATGGAGCACGTGGGGGAGGAAAACACAACAGAACAGGTTTAACAGAACTGACATATCGCCCCCCTCCCGGAAGGTGC